GATGCCCTGAGAGTCAGCCCAAACTAAGCTGGACATTTTCCTCCAAGCCTATGATACTGTCCAGGAAAGCCTGGGTATACCTGGCCCCCACACTCTCTTTTGAGCATTTCTCCTTGATTCTTTTATTAATTAGCCCAGATTTTATCCAGCCTTGAAACAAACCTATTGGACCAATGATTTCTTGGGTCTCCCTTGGTTAAAATCATTTAGCAGATGTATCAATCAGAACTCTTTAGTGACATGCAGCAGAAGCCAACTCTGGCAAAGCTTTAAGCAGTTTATTAGAAGGTCGAGGGTGGTGGAGAATGGTGAGAACACCTGCTCAGATAGGGCCAGAGCCCTGTGAGCTGCATGAGGGATTCAAATTACCAGGGTAGCACACCTGATTGGCCAGCCTGAGTTAGGGTTAGGGTTCCTTGCCAGGGGAAGGCAGGACATCTTGATTGACAGTCCCTTGGGAAGCTGACAGGAAATCAAAACCACATGTCCACTCTACCCCACAGAGAGATCTAACAGCTGAGCCATGCAACCCTCCCCCCTTCCTGAAAATACTGAGGCTAACACACAAACCATCCACACAAGAATCTTTAGGACAGGCTCGGCACCTGTGGCTCAAGCGGCTAAGGCGCCAGCCACATACACCTAAGATGGTGGGTTCAAATTCCCAGCCCAGGCCTGCCAAACAACAATGATGGCTGCAACCAAAAAATGGCCAGGCGTTGTGGCGGGCGCCTGTGGTCCCAGCTACTTGGGAGGCTGAGGCAGGAGATTCGCTTGAGCCCAGGAGTTGGAGGTTGCTGTGAGCTGTGATGCCATAGCACTCTACCCAGGGGGATAGCTTGAGGTTCCATCTAAAAAAAAGAAAAAGAATCTTTAGGACAGAGTCCCAAAGCTATTTGACAAATGCCCCCCAAGGAACTCTGATGTGTCACCCTGCTGAAGAGCCAGAAGGAACACTTGAGGACCTCCAATTATCCTGCCAGGTGGGGCCAGCTTGCCTGAATTTTGGCCCAGCCTTTACTGCCTCACCCTAGGGAAGTGACCATCCCCTGTGCCTCAGTTTTTCAATCTGTGAAACAGATATAATATTGCCTGCCTCACAGCATCATGGTGAAGAGTGAATGGACTCTGATCCACACAAAGGGCTTTTGTCTCTTGGGATTCAGTTGCAGCCTGATTTTGGCTAGGTGTCTGAACACCACCCTCTCAGATCAGAGAACCAGGAAGGCACAGTGGGGGAGGAAGAGGTCCAAAGGCCCATGTCAATCTTGCCCCCAACTCTGGCAGTCTTCAGGGACATCATTGGACCCCACTGTGTACTGGGAGAGTCTGGATAAATTGATCACATAGATCCCTCCCCAGGATGACTTTCTAAGCTGGAATCTTTCTTATCTGGAATCCCCAGAATTAACTTAGTTCAAAGCAAGATTATTGGTTTCTGAGTCAGCTGGGGACTGATACAAACATGGGAAACCATACCCTCCCCTCAAGGCTCCACAGCATCACCTTGTGGACAGCAACTCCCAGAATGCCATGAGCCTGGGTAGCAGCAGCAGCCAGCACGTAGCAAACCCTACTCTGCACCTAGCACTGTGTAATTCTCCCCATCCTTAGAATCGCCTTACACATGTAGCCCCATTTTACAGATGAGGAAATGGAGGCTCCAAGGGGCTGACTGGCATGACCAATTAGAGTCAGAGTGGACATCTAATCCTTAAATGAGACTGTGTCTCTTGCTATCTTTGCTAGTCTTCCCAATAATTCCTGGGAAGTAGGAACTGGTATATTTTCTGCATTTGATAAATGAGGAAACTGAGGTCCAAAACCCCATGAGATTTGAATCCCTAACTGGATATTGGATTCTGTGAGCTCAATGACTGTTCTACACCATATTAGCACTTGGCCACCTGAGGGCAGCCTACCCCCGGTCCGAGCACATGAGCCAGCAAGGAATGACCCATAGGGTCTCAGAGCAAAACAAAACAATACCTAATCCCTGTAAATGGGGTGAATGACAGACATCCTGTATTACTCAAGCATAATCATTTGACTTGGAGGGCTCACCGCCAGCCCAGCTCCTGGGCCACCAGCCGGATCTCGCCCCTCCTTGGAAGTAGGGTAAGCCCTCCACGGCCTGCTTGGCACCGTAGCCTCCTGTGTTTATCTAACTTCCCTGACCCTGGCAAGCGTGCGTCGCCTTTTCTTCCTTTCTCAAAAACCAGGACACAATAGGAAGCGTTTCCTTGAACTTATTAAAAAATCCAGACTTGTAAATTAATTTGTTCGTGTTGTACAAAGGCAGTGCAGATGGACTCATTAGCATGCACACAACAAATAATTATAGATGAATTTTTAGCTGGCCTGCCTAATGCGCTTGCTGGGTTAATTATGTCAATGTATAATTACATCAGCCCGGGGAGACATAATGGCATCCCCTGCTGAGCGGGCCCTGCCTAATGACGGGTGTGGGGGCTGCTGACAGAGGGAAGCTGCCACACAGTGCCATACACCTGCTTACCGCGGCACAGGCGCCCATTGTCCAAGCCTCCCGCCACCTACGCAGGCAGCAGAAGAATAAAACAGAGAGGCCACCTTGTTCCAGCCAGACCTGAAAGCCCTACATGCAGGCACTGCCCCATTTTTTCCATCAGCAAATATTTATTGCACATCAGGCTGTGTGCTGGGTACAAGGAGTCCAGTAGGGGGGAGGAGAGGAGGCAAAAGCAGGTGTAGTCCTGGTCCTCCCTTGTGAAGTTTGCAGACCAGTGGGAGTTCATCAGGTAGACCTGCAAATAACCACACATTATAACTGCAGTGGGTGCAATGAAGGAAAGGTGGACAGTGGTGACTAGCAAGGACACTGACTAGTCAAGGAGGGCTTCCTGGAAGAAAGTAGCATTTGGAAAGCCAGTGTGGCTAGAGCTCAGAAAGATAGGAATAGCTTCTGTTTGTTCTCATCTGACCAAGTGTCAGGTGCCATGGGGTACTGTATGTGGATCTTCATCATAGCCCCATGCAGTCACTATTCTTATGGTGAGGCAGAGAGAAGTAGAGTTGCTTTCTAAGGTCACACAGCAATCTAAAGAAACTAGTCCGGCTCAGCGCCTGTAGCTCAAGTGGCTAAGACGCCAGCCACATACACCTAAGGTGGTGGGTTCAAATCCGGCCCAGGCCACCAAACAACAATCATGGCTGCAACCAAAAAAAAAAAAAAATAGCCAGGCGTTGTGGCAGACACCTGTGATCCCAACTACTTGGGAGGCAGAGGCAGGAGACTCGCTTGAGCCCAGGAGGTGGAGGTTGCTGTGAGCTGTGATGCCATGGCACTCTACCCAGGGGGATAGCTTGAAGCTCTGTCTCAAAAAAAAAAAGAAAGAAAGAAACAAGTCTGGATTAGACTAGGGTCCAGGGGTGTCTGACTTCAGAGTCCATGCTCTTAATCCTGCTGCTGCCTGGCAGGGACAGTGGCCAAGTGCATGCAGGCAGGAGACTTGGGAGAGGGGCAAGAGGAGATAAGACTGCGGCATATTAGGCCTGGACCAGATCCCAGATCCCTCGGTCCAGGTGGAGGACCCTGGCTTTTCTGGGCCCCACAAACACTCTCTGCAGCTGCTGGGTCTGGGATATGCACATACTAGGACCGGAAGAGCAAGAGACCCAGATCCTGCTCTCACTTTCACTACACAGGTCCCCTGGCTTCTCTGAGCCTCAGTTTCCCTGCCTGTAAAAATGAGTTAGACCCAAACCAGCCACCAGAGGCTACTGTAAGGATCATGGCAGCCCCTTCCTATGGACGGGCTTTTAACTCAGAAGGCGTCACAGCCATACCAGCCTCTGGAATTTTCTAGGTGTTATTGGTTCCTGCCCCAGATGGAGAGTTGGGGGAAGTCTCATGAAAGGAGTGGACTGCCCCCCCCAAGTGGAAGGAAGAGAATGTGCTTGCTGGGCAAGGCTGGGAAAGGGAACCAAATTCTAGGCAGTGGAACCTGCATGTTCCTCACCTTTTAGTAACTGGGAAATTAGCAGATGTCTTCCATCCACATGTGTATTTTGCCCCCCAGAAAAGCTGGTATTTAATCTATAGCATATGCCACAAGTGATGGTGTTCTCATCCAGGTCCGCTGAGCAGCAGCCACCAGGAACTATGTGCACAATAAAAGATACCACTGGGGGGAATAGGCAACTGGGCAGCTGGCGGGAAGCATCCCAGACCACCACACAGCCTAAGGAAGCGCTGAGTAAAGCCATGGGGACATCCTCAAGCCAGAGTTGGCCCTCAGACCAGTCCTGCCTCAATATCCCTGGTGCAAGCAGGCATTGTCAGAGGAGGTTGACATCCGAGTATAGCATCTAGATCCTTGCCCAATGAGGGTCGCTCTGACTGGAGGTCTGCAAGGCTCATTCTTCTGGCCACCACAGATGGCCATGAGATTCTTGATTCATAAAATCAAGAAAATGCAGTTAGGGCTGCTGGGCGTGGTGACTTAGCCTGTAATCCTAGCACTCTGGAAGGCTGAGGCAGGTGGATTGCCTGAGCTTACAGGTTCAAGACCAGCCTGAGCCAGAGTGAGACCCGTCTCCAAAAGCAGCCAGGCATTGTGGTGGGCGCCTGTAATTCCAGCCACTTGGGAGGCTAAGGCAAGAGAATCGCTTGAGCCCAAGAGTTTGAGGTTGCTGTGAGCTATGACTCCACGGCACTCTCACTAAGGCCAACAAAGTGAAACTCTATCACCAAAAAAAAAAAAGAAATAAAATGCAGTTATTGTTACAGTTATTAGAGTTGTTATTTCCAGCTAGGCAGGACACCCATCCCATGGGGACAGCACATGCTCCCTCACACAGGAGCCTGCAGGAGGCCGCTCCCTTGTAAAGCAGAAAGTCCACGTTGCTCCCCAAAGCCATCAGGGTGACTCCAGATGAGAGACCAGTGAGAGACCCACAGCCTGAGTCTGGGTGTCCCATCCACAGGGCCCTCACCACTACATCCTCTCTCTGCGCAGACCCCGTGCCTGTATTTGAAGCAGCACGCAGCCTAGACGACAGACTGCAGCCCCCCAGCTTCAACCCCAGCGGGCAGCCCCGGAGAGACCTCCACGCTTCGTGGAAGAGGAACCCAGAGCTCCTCGGTCCCAAAGGTACTGACAAGGTCTTCGTGGGATGTCCATAATGCATGGCTCGGCTGAGATCTTCAGCAGGCAAACTCGGCCACCCTTGAGGGGTTGAGGGAGGGTGGCAGGGAACTGGGCTTTATCATTTGGGGTGAGGAACAGATAAGGTAACACTACTGCTATAACAAATGAACCCCAAATCTCAGCTGAATCCACTGAAGGATAGGGAGGTTGCAGAAAATGTTCCATACTATCACGCAGGGACCCAGGCTTTGGAGGACCTGCAATCTTCAACACATGACATGTAGCGTCACAGTGAATGTCAACATCCATCTCTTCCAACAGGCAGAGAAAGAATGTGGAGGTCACACTGAGGTTTATAGGATACAAGCCAGTAAGTGGTACTCATTGCTTCCACCCATACCCCATCAGCCAAAAGCACAGCTGCAGTCACACCTGCTGAAAGGAGCCTGGGAAGTGCGTCCCAGCTGCATGTCCAGAAAAGGACACAGGATGCTGAGAGCACACAGCACTGTCACAGCCAAGGGTGTGGGGAAAGATGAGCTGAGCGTTAAGGATACTTGAGCTGGGCGGCACCTGTGGCTCAGTGAGTAAGGGCACCGGCCCCATATACCGAAAGTGGCAGGTTTGAACCTGGCCCAGGCCAAACTGCAACAAAAAAATAGCCAGGCGTTATAGCAGATGCCTGTAGTCCCAGGTACTCAGGAGGCTGAGGTAAGAGAATCTCCTAAGCCCAAGAGCTGGAGGTTGCTGTGAGCTGTGATGCCACAGCACTCTACCAAGGGTGAGAAAATAAGACTGTATCTCTTAAAAAAAAAAAAAAAAAAGATACTTGAGCCAATCACAGATTTAGACAAAATCCCATTTCTTTCTGCCTCTAAGTATCTAAACTCAGAACTTCTGGCTGTGGGCGCTTAAAGACCTGGAATCTTTGTGTTGGAGCCTAAGGGGGCACTATGTGATGGTGCCTTTGACTCTCTAAGTTTGGGATTAATTAAGAGCTAAACTTGAGGGAGTCAGTGGTGGAAACCAGAGCCTAATTTCCATAAGGCAGGATGGAGATCCAACCTGGGGCCACATGAGCTCCTCCTGGAGCCCCCAGGACCCTGGGGCAGCAACTGTGAGGGCCAGAGCAGTGGCAAAGGGCGGGATAACACAGCTTCCCTTGGAAAGCCCAGCCTGGTGGTGACCCAGGGGTGCCCCCACACACAGAGAGGATGGACTGGGTATGGCAGGCTACTGTGAGGAAGATGACCTCAGAGGGGCCAAGCCAGGCATGGCCATACTTCCCCATCCCCACCTGTCAGAAAAGTCCTCCTAGTGAGAAATGGGCAGAAGACACATATGTTTCACCAAGAAGAAAACACAAGAAGAGACAAGCAACGTGGCCAGGGCTGTCCTCACCAAATCACAGCCAGCAGTTCACAAGTCCAGTGATGCCAGGGATTGGCCAAGGTGTGACATGACAGGACTCTTATCTGCTGCTGCTACTTTGGAAAATAGTCTCTAGGAAGATTCCAGATGGGCCAGCTAAGGAGGCAGCACATTTGCTGCCCAGTGTGTATCCTTGGAAAACTCACGCTGTCCCAGAGACAGGGACAAGAATGGGCTAGCTGGCTTGGCAACTGTAGCTCAGCGGCTAGGGCGCCAGCCACGTACACCAGAGCTGGTGGGTTCCAGCCCAGCGTGGGCCTGCCAAACAACAATGACAACTACAACAAAAAATAGCTAGGCGTTACAGTGGGTGCCTATAGTCCCAGCTACTTGGGAGGCTGAGGCAAGAGAATCACTTAAGCCCAAGAGTTTGAGGTTGCTGTGAGCTGTGACACCACAACACTCTACTGAGGACGACATAGTGAGACTGTCTCAAAAGGGAAAAAAAAATGGGGCTAGCTGCAGTCGCTGTACCATGACTGACTGGAACAAACCAAATGTCCAGTGGCAGGAGACTGGATAAAGAAAAGGCATATTCACACAGTAGAATCTTGTATGGCCGCACTCATAGCAGATGAATCTTCAGGACTAGAGGACCTCATTGAGCACAACACCCTTTCAAAATAGTCAAGAAACTAGCAGACTTTAAAATATGTGTTTAGGTATAACTATATATAGTGCATAGGTTTTATAATGATAAAAACTTTTTAAAGCAAGAGAAAGATGAAGTTCAGTATGGCAGCTACTCAGGTGGGTGAGGTGAGGGCTCTGCAAAGGGAAGCAGCAAGCGTGCGGTGGAAGCTGTTGCTGACCTTCTGATTTCACACCAGGCCCTGTCCAGGGCACAGGGACACAGCTGGGGGTAAAACAAATGAAAAAGCTGCTTTATGGTGATAACTTTCTAAAAGGGGAGACTGATGGCAACAAATGGATTGGGAAAATATACGGTATGTCAGAAAACTCAGCCCAGTTTCAGTTCCCATCCTGCTCAGTGACCAGCCCCTGAGTATTCTCTCCCCTCCATTGTGACTTCAGTGTTCATCCCCAGGACAGATCACCTCAGAGCCTGCCCAGGTGGCCCTGCCACGTGGTTGCACCTGCAGGTGAGGTGGGAGATGAATGAGGGGCCACGTGTGTTCCCTCAACAGTGGGAGGGGAAAGCAGTCTGGCAGCTTCTCAGTAAGTGAAACACAGACTTACCATAAGACACAGCAATGCCACAGATGTACCCCCAAAGAGCAGAGAACAAACTCCCGGGCCAACTCAAAATAATTCAAATATCCTTTGACAGATGAATGGGTAAACACTGTCCAGTCTGTCCGTACAGTGGAATATTATTTGGACATAAAGGGAGATGAAGTTCCTACAACCTAGGTGAATGTTGAAAACATTATGCTAGTGGACGAAGCCGGACAAAAGGACACATAGCATATGATCCCACTGATGTGAAATACCCAGAATAGACTGATCCATAGAGACAGAGTAGATTAGTGGTCACCAGGGGCTGGGAGGAGGGGAAAACAGAAAGTTGTTTAATGGTTGTGGGGTTTCCTTTTGGGGTGACGACAATGTCCTGGTTGCACAAAATTGTGGGCATATTAAATTATCACTTTAAAATGGTTTTAAAGTGGTAAAATGGTAAATTTTACATTACATATGTTTTACCACAATTTTTTTTTTAAATAAGGCAGAGAAGACTTGAGCTGGCCTGTGGGTTTGTGGGTATGCAATCTGAGGCTGTGGTGACAGGAACTTGACCTGTGTGCAGATATGGAGCCTGCGGGGCCTAACAGCTCTGTCCTTTCCAATGCCCAAGTCTGGGAAATTGATCAAAATCGATGATGAGCAGGTTTGCAGGAAGCTGCTGTGGCTGTTCCGTTGCTCTCTGAGCAATGGGTGTTTTCTCCTCTTTTTCTTCCTCCAGAGCAGAGAGAGGGGGCGTCTCCTACTGGGCCCACGCTGACCGACGGGAGCCGCCTCCCAGGCATTCCCGGGAAAGCCCTCCTGACAGAAACCTTGCTGCAGAGAAATGAGACAGAGAAACAAAAGTGAGGGAGGCTGAGGGACAGAGGAATGGGGGGGGGGGCGGGGGAATGGGTTCCATGGCCCCACTCTGCTGGGAGGTGGGATCAAGATAGTCCCCTACCCAGTTAGGAATTCCTGCTTCAAGGAATCTGGGTGCAGGAAGGGGTGAAGGCCTTGGACTCTGGAAGGCCTGGGTTCAAGACCACTGCAGGAGCTCAGTGGCCCTGCACAAGTCACATCACCCTTCTGAGTGAGCCTCAGTTTCCCCACCTGGCAAATGGAGCCAATAGTGGTACAGTAGTCAGCATGGCTCCAGGGAAACAAAGCCAATACGATAGTTTTTTATTATGAGGTGTATTTTGAGGACCTAGCTCACACAAGCGGGGGCTGGCAAGTCCAAATTGGTAGCAGAGTTGTCTTCCTCAGGCTCCCTCGCCAGACTTTCAGCTGACTGGGTAAAGCCCGCCCACATGGTTGAGGATATTCTCCTACATGTCTGCTGACACAGCACTGACGGTCACCATTGGTGTCCACTCCTGGTCTGCGGGAGGGAGACCAGGCTGCACCTGTCAGTGCTTAGCTCAGTCTCACGTGAAGGAGCATGTCAGGGAACATCTAGGGTGGCATGTCAGGGCAGCTTTATGGAGGTCATGACATTTCTCCTTTCATTCATTCACTACTTCGTCCTGCCTTCATTACACATCTATGGAGCCACCAAGTGTGTTCCAGAACCTGGGAAACTCAACAGTGACAAAACAGGCCAAGCCTCCTCCCCTCCTGCAGTTTCCTTTCTAGTAAGGAAAACACAAGAATAAACAAAATAAATACTTGGCCGATCCGCCATCTGCGGTGGAACCGCCACCAAGATGCAGATTTTCGTAAAAACCCTCACGGGGAAGACCATCACTCTCGAGGTTGAACCCTCGGATACGATAGAAAATGTGAAGGCCAAGATCCAGGATAAGGAAGGAATTCCTCCTGATCAGCAAAGACTCATTTTTGCTGGCAAGCAACT